AATTGGTGGTGGAGACAGCAACGCTATAAGTTTATGACAACAAAATGGGCAGATAAAATGGGATTGCAGCAGGTGCAGGTCTGCAGAAGGAGAGTTACCGTTAACGCTGAGTCAAAGAACTTTGCTTCTACGAAGGTAGTATGGCAACATGAGAGACAAGGTTTTTCTTCGCATTTTTGAGTGTGAACATTCTGTTACATAACTCAACTACGATATATAAACAACACCCTTCATTTGTCGCGAAAATATACTGGGCATCTGCCCCCTGACATTATCTGTTCCGAGAAGAGGACAGATAAACTGTGAGCTTTGAGGCTGTGGGACTTATTATCCCAGTTTTAGCTGGGGCTTATTCAGTCACGTGAAGCGTTTAGACCAGTCGCCGACGAGCGAAAATATTTGATGGATTATACTCTATACTCTAAGCGCTTTACTAACCGTGCACCACTTGTACTTGTTAGTGACGAGATGTTGTAGGTGTTGCCGCCCAAAGAGAAAACGCAGTTACATTTTCCGAGTATTCCTTGGTATTTCATGCAAGTGCACAGAAACGTTGTAGACACTAAACATCTGACCCAGCTCCTAGAGGACATGATGAAGTGGCCGCTAGAGAGAATAACAAATACCTTGTGTTAAGTGACTTATTGAAGGAGGAAGACGCAACTGGGTGTGGGTAATCCCAAATAGGCGTTATTCCCAAGGTGATCCCTCTTAAGCTATTTTTAGACATGCACAGCGTATCCGGTCTACCGCGGATAGACCTCGCTCGGGCACTATCAGGTGATAACTGCCCACGGACGACTATCAGACGATAGAGCCAGCTCAGCGAAGAGGATCATGAAACGCACAGAACTTTTAGACGAAGATTTATGGGTTATTGATCAAGCTTGTTCGGTCAAGATGGTTGGATATTGGCCAAGTTCTTTTTTGAGTGTTTATGATGGAATGACGACACGTTTTTGATAAACTAGCTCTTTCGCCAACTCCATAGCATTACAGTCCTGTGTAAAGCAGCGAGTCCAGTCATTCTAATTACAGCATATGAAAACTCGGTGCACGAACTGTTTATACTTTCCCTCAAAATAGCATCAAATTAGCATCACCCGACTTCCGGTGTAATTAAAAACGTAAAGACAATCTTACAATGCGTACACTTTGTAAATACATAAGTTTCAATATAATTACATTACATTCAAAAGAGATTTCACCGAATATAACTGACCAAAGAGTCAGTTCAAACAGTTTGGATTTCCGTAAAAGGTATATTCGGAGCGAGAGCAGAAACTAGGTACCCCAAATTTTACGACAGTAGTAAAATTATATTGGGAAGTCACCAGATATTCATGCTTAATAGTCATTAATAAGACCATGTATTTCACTCATAGAAAAAGGGTAATAATAATAACAAAATTTCAGATTGAACTGCATTTCATTTGCACGGATCACATGACCTCAAAACGCAATAACGCTAACAGGTATTATCTGCAAAAGATAGTTAGGGCAACTTACTTTTTACCTCAGATGTTACTCAAATGTCTTAAAATGTCGCATCGATCGGTTATCCCACCACTAAAGGAATACACAAGTATATTTCTGCTTAAATCTGACCCTTCCTTTTTCTAAGTATAAACACGGACCAAAGAAAACACAATGCCGGAATATATTGAGCTGATCAGTCATCTGGCTATTTCAATTCCGGGAAAAACCCAGATGCTCAAATCACTTGCACGTGACATAAATAGTTCCCTTTTACACTGCGGTGCTTTTCTGTTAGTGAACAACAATTTAAACAGGCAAGTAAAACTAAGCAAGTCTTGACGAAATCAATTTAAACTTATTACTAACCAGTCAAACCACGGAAAGCCGAAGAAATGATGAAAACTTCTTACAAATACCACAACTAAAATAATAATTGGAAGTTACATATTTCACAGATGTATCATTACCCTTTCAAACTTCCGTTTGTTTGCACTGAATATTGAGTACTATTAATAATCTACAAATTAAAGTTCTAACATTTATCATTGTGGTTTATTCAGGTGGTTACGTTGGTCAAAATGCACGTAACAAGCGTCTTCAGTATTGTAAGAGACAAGAGTATATTCCTATATCACTACCTCTCAAAGAAAACAAATTAATCTACGTTAACAAAATATCTTGTTACTCAGTGCGAGAAATGCGTTTTAAGTGTGGTATTGCAAATATATATTTTTGAATCGTCATTCTCGGGGATAAATGCTTGACAGTAGTAAAAACTTTCAGTCAGACAGTCAGTTTGTATCATGAAGCAGTGCAACCGTTTCAGAGATCGATAGGGACTGCAATACCGGAAGTACAATAACGCAAAAGTTACTGAAGATTCTTCAAGCATTTCGGTAGCTTATTTGTCATAAAATTTGTACCATAATGACCATGAAGAGTTACTTTCACCCAGTAACGCTGTAAGGTACTAACTAACACTGCACGTTAGCTTAAAAAGCTGACTTCAATCAGCCATCGGTTACGTTAAATAACCGCCAGGGAGTGACAGACTTCGTTAAGTACAGTAGCCAATGTTCGAAGAGTTAGATTAAATTTAAATTAGTTTAATCAGCATAGTAGCACACACCTTTTAAAACTGAAGATAGTTGCCAAAAATGCAAATAGACTTCACGAAAGTTTCTCTTGCTATGGCGTACCTTATGTGTAGGTGGTTTCCAAGTCTTATAGCTCTTCAATTCCACTTACGTTGCGATGTGACTCAAATCAGTTGTAGCAGATATTATAGAACTCTGGACTGAGCTTGTTTTGTTATTCTTCTATCACAAATTAACCAAAATTTGTTGGCTAAATTCGCAAGAAACTTTGATGTTCCAAGCGGTTTTCGATCGACGTCGCTGATTGTTTACTCGCTTGACTTCCGCGCCTGTGCCAATTTGATAACGCTTTTGGTATGGAAGTGAGGCTTTTCCGTCCTATCTCGTCACGCTATAACAAAGTTACCGGTCACGCGACACTTCGAGACTCGGCCACGTGCAGTTTTCAGGATTGGCTATTTCTAGACTCTCTCTCCTTCCAAAACTGGGAGTGATCTAAACATACATGGAGATGAGACAATTTGGAAATTTGAAATAATTCTTCGCGGAAGAAAAACACTTTTCGAGTGAAACCCTCGCACATGATGTTTGGCCACCGATGGATCGAATTATACAGCTACCTTTGCTGCATACCAAAAAGCCTTTAAGGTGGCTCAAAACAGTTTCCAACACTTAGATTTTGATGGGTCGTTAAAACTATTCTGTATCACTTGATGCTACAATCATGGTAACAAAAATTTTTCCAATCATTGGTGAACACGTTATCATTTTCGTGAAGCAATAGGTTACCATAGCAACAGTATGACCTCCTAAAAACACCCTTCTTTACGGCTTTAAGGGCTTATAATTCAAAAACGGCACGGTGAAATTGTTGTATATTATCAACTTTTGATGAGCATGGTAAGATGCAACTTTTAGCAAAGTTTAAAAAATTCTGTAGGTAGGGTTCAGAGCCACCGTAAAAATTTGCGAAAATTTAAGGTTGCTCTGAACCCTACCTACAGAACTTTCAAATGATGTTGTATAGTCCTCATGTTGTAAAAGATATTTCTAGTACACAGAAACACTGATCGCGAAAGAAATATCTTCAGATTGCACTGGGTTCAATAAACCACGGATCCACTTTCTTAACGCTAGCATGCGGTTAAATACATAGTTTTTATATACGTAGCTACTTCCTTGCACCTGTAACCTTTCTTTTAACAACCTGCTCTGTGCGAAGATATATTTCTGCTCAAATGTTAGTCTCTTCTTGTAGAAAATACGAGAAGAAAGACTGTCTTCTGCACATGAGATTTGTAATGGCAGGCTTTTACCAGCTTTAACAGTCTTTAACAGTGCCTAAGAAAACCGAGATACGCCTTCGTTTTAGTTCCGATACTATTTTTATTTGCTTCTTTAAAAGGTGGGTGATTAGCCCTTGGCAAATGAATTCTAAAAGAATGACTAAGTATTAAGCGAGTCGAACAAGCGACTGTAGAAGTTCGAATCGGAAGGGATAATACTTGGCTGTTTCGGTTTTGTTTTCGCTTGATGCCGGGTAGGCTCGATTTCCAGCCGCTTTGGGAATGCGGTTGTTTGTCCTCCTCCCAACTACGGCTGGATCACTGGTCCGTACCGCTTTACCGTGACGTCACAACCGCTTTTTATGCAAATTACCATGCGAGGAAAAAAGTGGCGGAGTACGTAGTTTGTTACTCCGAAAAAAAATTAAACCTGTAAGCAAAGATGTGTTCTATGTGGAAATGTTTTGGAAAATTCAAGAAAAAGCGTAAAACTAAAACAGGAACTTGTTGCAAAGCTACAAGAAATCGTAGCCAGCAAGAATCTCGACACGAAGGGTATCTTTGCAACGATTGTCAAAAATCACTGAGTAAACAAATATTTGACTGAATGTTGCTAGCTCTGAAGAATTTCCTAAGCAAAGGAGCTGGGAAAGCTGAGGTAAGAACTCATTTTTCTTGGCAAAATAGATATCAGGATTATAAGGCCGCCAGTTCCTATCCCGATTTTAGTCATCCGACAACAAAGTGATTGCGTGTCATGTTTGGGTACACAGGGACGTCATAAAACTCGTATCGTAGCTCATGGTTTAGTTTTAACTCTACTTTCTTGAAATTATCGAAAATTGATGTTACAAATAACCAAAACACAAAATCAAGTTGATTTACAAGTAAAAAGTGCCCCAAAATAACCTTTTCTTCTGGTCAAATTGAATATTGAGACACACGCGTTTCCTCGGTGGTGCGCATCTGTAAATAATGCCAAGTGTTTCAGCAAAAACTATAAACACGCACAGTTAGGCGGCCATACATGCATGAAAAACTTATTTGCCTGTTGTTTTGAGTGTGGTCACAAGGGCAGATGGTTCAATGGATAATAATTAATTAAAATTACAGATATTTCAGATATGCTGATAACAAGTATATAATCCCCCTCCTTGTAGGACAGATGAAGACTTGATTGAAGGAAAATAGACAAAATAACATGTATTACCATTACACTTGTATTACAAAATTTATGAGGCTGGCAAGGTTTCTCCGAATAACTTGGATCTGCATCAAAATGCGGGCGTATTGTGTTGTTGTAAGTAAGTAAGTAACAACTTTATTTACAGAGGGTAACACATAACAGTAAAA